GAGCCGGATTCGGAAGCCGGGCGAAGGCTGCTAAATCCGTGGCTGCTAAAATCGACCTCCGGGAAGTTGTCTCCGTCCTTCCGGGAAGAAACCCGTTGACTGTTTCGCGTGCCGCGCCTCATTCTGGGAAGTTGATTTTTCCTTCCGGGAAGGCCGTTTTAGCAGCCACGGTTTTAGCAGCCCTCGCCCAACTTTCGACAGATGAAGGGGGACCGGGAGCCGACCGGGAGCCGGCCTGGGGGGGGTCCGCGTGAGCTGGCACGTTGGGCCCCTGGGGGAGCCGCGCCCGCGCTCACGCCAGCCTGAAGGAGTCGGCGCCAAGCACGTCAGCGCTCGAGGCAAGATGGTCGACGTCCGTCGCCCATGCTAAGACCACCCTCTCGTCCAGCAGGCCCAAGCCTCCAACACTATGGCAGGATCACCAGCGAGAGCGTGTCCCCGCTGGTGGTTCGCGGGCTGGCCGGCCCACGCCACCACTGGCGAGCCAGCGATCGGTTCGGCCCAGCGAGCGCCCAACGAATCTGGCACATCGCCTCGCTGCGCACTTGCGAAATCGTGGCGGCTACCAAGCCCTTCGTAACAGCAACTTCGTCCAGTGCCCGACAGCGCGCCGCCCATACCGCAATATTGAGGCGTGGGTTCTTCGGACGGGACAGGTGTGACAAACAGGGCGGCTTGCTTGACGTTTTCGGTGCCGCTTGGATTTGGCGGCGGCGTTCGTTAGCTTTGGTATGAGTGGTGAACGAACAACCCCGTCGAGCGGCGCCCATGCTCTGCGGCCATCAAGGTGCGCGCGCCCCACGCCCCAAGGTCGTGTTCAGCAAAATTCGAATATGGGCAAATAACGCCCACCGCAGGCCAGTCAGCGCACGAGTCTGCATGCACCGTGCGAGCATCGATCTCTCGATAGCCTCCTACTTCGCACCTGGTTGGCTCTGAGGCTGCTGCTCCGCTCCAGCCCCAGCTGCTGGGACAGCACGAGTGCGTGGGTGGCTACCAGGGTGTTCTCGACCTGCAGCCTGTGCACGCCGCATCGATAGGACTCTCTCCAGCTCTCGGCTACACGTAAGACTGACCCTAGGCAAGAGTGAACATTGATGCGCGACTCAACAGGGGACGCGGGGTGGCCGGACCTGGGCGCGCAAGCCTCTGCCACCACTTCGCGCTCAGCAAGCGGGGGACCCCACTGGGCCCGCACCAGAGGTCACTCCGGCGAAAGGTCACTCTTACATGTAGTCTTAGGTCGGGCATGTCCTCCTACAGGCGGATTTTGGACGAAAAATAAGATGATACTGGAGAAAAGCTCCAATGAGAGTCTTTTTTTACATTACATGATATTCCTTTGTAATTGCTCCTTAGGTTTATGAAGTCTGCGAGGGCTATGAAGGCCATAGGGCTATAGGGCTGTAGGGCTGTAGGGCTATAGAGCTATAGGGCTATAGAACTATAGGGCTATAGGGCTATAGGGATATAGGGCCATATGGGCTATAGGGCTTTAGGGCGATAATGCACCTGGGCACCCGGGCACCCCCGGGCACCTTCGGGCACCTGTGGGCAACCCCCTGGCACCCCCGGGCACCCGGGCAACCCCAGGCACCCCAGAGCACCTTCGGGCACCCCCGGGCGCCTCCGGGCACCCCAGAGCACCTTCGGGCACCCCCGGGCAACCCTGGGCACCCAAGCACCGGGGCAACCGGGCCGGCCACCGAAATCGGCGACGCACCTCACCTAACCATATGAATCCGCTAGGACCCCTACAGAGGCAAGCTCTGACTGGGGAAAAAAATCCCCAAAAAGCTCAAGAATAGTCAAACATGGTAGAAAAATCGTCCCCAGACTATTTTTGTTACTATTTTCGAATGTTCCTCCTGCAGACCCAGACCCCCGACGTCGCAATTTTTTCACAACGTCGACCCCACGAGGTCTGGGCCGGCAAGGGCCCCCGGAGGCCGAACATAGCGAGACACCTCCTGTCGTGATTCCTTTCACAGCGCGAGGAGGTCTGGGGAAGCACAGGCCCGACTGCCGTGTGGGCGAAGCTCTGGGGCCGCTTGCCCGCCACGGCAGCGCCCCGGCCCTCTCCGGGTGCTGCCCGCGGGCCTGCCCATGGGGCCGTCGAGCGATGGCGTCCGCAGGGGGTGCCCGCCTCGTGCGGCGCGGCCCGTCCCGCCGGTGCGCGCTCGGCCGGCGGTGTTCGGCCTCGCCCTCTGCTTCGGGGTCGGAGCTGTTGGGCGAACAACCAATATTACGCAACCAAATGCCCCAGAATAGTCAAAAAAGAGTCCCCGGACTATGTTTTGACTATGTTTGACTATTCGTCCTGTAGAGGGGCAGGCCCGACTCAACCCAAGGGGAAATCTCGAAGGTCCGCGCGAATTCCTCGGATCGGCTCTGGACTCCCCTCCCTGGTGCGCAGAGCGCGCCAGGGGCGGCGCCGGAGGCGCCGCCCGCGGGCCCCTCCGGCGCCGACCTGAGGAATCCGCGCGGACCTCCAAGGTTTGATGCTTATGTCGTTGTGCCTTCCCCTACTACCGAAGGATCACGACCAGAGCTCTATGTAGACCCCATCTTTCTGCCCATTTTATTCGAGCCAGATCGATATGTGGAGGTCCCAGGGGCCCGAGCACCGGGCAGAAAAAAGCGACCAGTGTACCAAAAAAGATGGGATGCTACAACCCTCGTCAAAATGAACCTCAAAAATGTCCTGCGTGGCTGAACTGTCTGTGGGGAGATACTGGGCAGAGGAGCGGTGGCTGCGAGGTGCTTGTGTGCGCCGCCCCTCCAATGTCGGTCATCATCGGACTTCCGAGTCGTTCCCGGTCAGACCACCTCTGCCCTGGCCGCGACATTGGAGGGGCGTCTATCGACGTTGAAGGGCGCGCCGACATCGCAGGGGCGTGTGCGCCATTTTTGAAGTTAATTTTGACGAGGGTAGTAGGTTGCGGACTGGTCGGCCCGTTTCATTGCACCGACCTTGCAGACGTGCTGCAGCGGATTTTTGCGCGGATTTCTGCCCATGTAAAGCCCCGAAACGGCGATCGAAAAACGAAGTGAATTTCACGTTGATTCTTGTTCAGCCTTCATTCCTCACCAAAAAATCCGCACGAAATTCACTTCGAAATCCGGAACGAAATTCTCCAAGACACTCTGGGCACATCCTATAGTTTTCCGAACACAATCCGCTCTGCGATGTTGGCGCCATGATCTTTTGACCGGTAGGATCAGCGGACTCAGTGTCCCGTGGGCGAGGGCGTTCCGTCCTCGTTTGCGGCGGGGGAGCCTCCGATGGTCCCCATCTACACCTGCAAGCTTCCTTTGGTCTCCGCGTCTGTTTGTCCAAGCTTTCTCTGAACTGCCCCCAAACACGCGGGACTGTCTCCTCCAACCGTTTATGTACCGCCCTTGCCTCCCAATAACTCCCCAACGGCACGGGCGCTACTTGCTTGCACCCGTCTACCCCCGACTCCGCCGCGAGACGTGTCGGGTACTTGGGTTGTTGCGGTGACACCGCCCTGGTCGGCCATTGTGTTCGGCAGCCTTCCACATCCGCTGGAGCAGCTCATTCGCGGCAAGTCCCCCGCATTGTGACCAGGTCTAAGGCGCTAGCATCGCACAACGCGTCGACTCCCCACGCCAGGGCGGGCGTTCCACAGCGGCCGCACGAGGGGCGCCCAAGACTTCCTGACCAAACTCTTATGAAAATTGGCGGCCCATGTGCCCAGCCCCGTCCCGTGACGATTGCCACCCCCGCGACGAGCCGAAACGCTGGAGGAAACGGGTCGGCCGCATCCTTCCCACAAACCCTCCCCAACCCACCACCCCCGGTTTGATTTGCACGAAGCTCTGCAACATCACTCCAATCGCTTGAATATGGGAACTCACACTACACCTGCATGGTTCCAGCATAAGCATACAAAACATATTGTAATTTACGCCACGACGCAACCACTTCCAGCAAGCACCCCCTAAGCGCACTCACACCCGAATAGCGCGACAAACGGATTCCGAGTTTGACCACAAACAAGAACGCAATCATGCTGCGGAAGGTCAACGACATGTTACCGAGACGAAGCCATCAATGTTTTCACGCGTAGCGGCCGCCTTGCGCCTGAAGGGTCGAAGGTTGCTTGTGGCCTACAAGGCCTCCGGAATGTGAAACCGCATTGCGCACCCCATCGGCGAACACATTGATGTAGGATCCCCAACCCAGAAACAAATCGGACTGAGAAACGCACAGCTGCGAACGCTCGAACCAGTGATTCCCGAACGCACGCATTATTACAGCCCACACCATATTTTATATCGGATGTGTTCCAACTACCGCTGGACTCGCTTGCGGCAATGCGGCAACCCCCCGACTAATTACACCGTCCCCAGATACACATCGTTAGATATAGCGACCGATTTGACCAAATCTCGAATTAACGATCTGCAAGAACGATGAAAAAATGGCGTGTCCATTTAACGATCGAGCGGTTGAAACGACGGTCTGCTTAGCTTACAAATGAACGCTACACGGGACAACATCACGGAAGAACCACGGACGGCGACGAAACAACTGCAAGGCAACCACGGAAAAACGATAGACCAACAGCTCGGGACAACCGCACAAAACAACCACCAGAAACACCCACGAAGCAACGACTGGACAACCGCGAAACAACCCGCTCCGCTCCAGTCCTCGAGAGAAGGACGGCCACTTTAGAAAAACAAAAAAGCGCCATAGACATAAACTTCTGGCGCTCCGCGCGGATTTCTTGGATCTGCGCTGGACCCCCCTCCCTGGCGCGCGGAGCACGCCAGGGGCGGCGACGGAGGCGCCGCCGGGAGGGGCCAGCGCGGATCCATAAAATCTGCTCTCGGGGCGCCACAAGTTCATGTTTATGGCATTTTTTCTTCTTCGGCACGAAAGAAGACGGCAACTTGCCCCTGCACCACGATAACATGTCCCCCTTCGCCCACGCAAACGGCCGCGCGTCACCCGCCAAACTTTTTGATCGGCGGCGAACTCTGGGTCCGGCAGGCGATCGAACTCGCGCTAAGCCGGGCATGTCCTCCGACAGGTGGATTTTGGACGAAAAATCAAAAATACTCAAAACCAAACCAAATAAAACTCTAAAACAGTGAAATATCATCGAGAAATCGCCCCCAGACAATAAAAAACATGTTTGACTATTCCTCCTGTAGAAGGACGTGCCCGACTTCAAACTAGCGGCGACGCGCGTCCGAAGCGAATTGGACCAAGGCGGGGGCACGCAGGAGGAACACGGGGGAGGGCGGCGAGACGGCAAGAACACTCTCAGAACGCGAAGAAGTTCGGGATGCGCCAGAGGCAGGCTCACGCAGTCGACGCTGTCAATGCAGGGGGATGATCAGGACCGCAAATCCTGGGATCGGGATGGTGGATCCTGCGCAGGTCAAAACAGAATTCCAATAAAAGGCGCGACCACACGCGTCACCGAAACGCAATTCAGGGAACGGAGCAACACGCAACCAAAGGCAGCAAGTAGCCTCTGTCACATGAGTCATGCGAAGTGGCGGCCAGGGTCTGTGCTTGGCGGCTGGAGCCGGACAGAGGACAGCAGAGAGTAAGTCAAGGAACTACACAACATAAAGGCGGTGTGGGCGCGACGCGCGCAATACCAGAGAGGTGAATACGACACCAAATGAGCGTGGCCGCAACTGGGCGGGAGCCTCCAGGTCTCGGGATGGTCCTCGATGATCGTTTCGTCATGTTCATTGGGCGCAGCTCAACGGGCGAAAAACGGTGTAACATAAACTTGTTCGTGGTCGGGGGCGCCCATCCCAGGGCGGCTGGAAAGTCTATACCCTTACGGTGGCACCGCAGGGGTATCAACTTTCCAGCCGCCCAGGGGCAGGCGCCCCCGACAGCGGAAAGGCCTTTTTTGTTCCGTTTTTCGCCCGCTTAGGCAGCAGCGCGGCGCCTGGCCGAGCCGCGCAACTTGAGCAGGGACCGACCGTCCCGGCATTCCTATAGGCCTACCACGAAATCTTCTCAGAACCCAAAAATGTGCCCAATGACAAAAACAATGTGCTCGTAGAACATAGACCCCGTGTAGTGAAACAAGACAGTCCCAACCAAAAATGTTCCAAGAGCATCTCGTGGAAACGTAGGCGAGCTGGGACGCTTCGCCACTGCTTGAGCAACGCCGGGGCGGCGCTCGCAGCTAGTAGCAGGCCGCTCGCGGCCGCCGAGGTGGCCCGGCTGCCTGCAGGACGTGCCAGGCCAGGCCGCGCAGCACCAGGCGGGGGTGCACTCTGCGAGGGCGCCGGGAGGAGGAGGAGGAGGAGGAGGAGGAGGAGGAGGAGGAGGAGGAGGAGGAGGAGGAGGAGGAGGAGGAGAGGAGGAGGAGGAGGAGGAAGGAGGAGGAGGAGGAGGAGGAGGAGGAGGAGGAGGAGGAGGAGGAGGAGGAGAGGAGGAGGAGGAGGAGGAGGAGGGAGGAGGAGGAGGAGGAGGAGGAGGAGGAGGAGGAGGGCAGGAGGGGGGAGGAGGAGGGGGAGGAGGAGGAGGAGGAGGAGGAGGAGGAGGAGGAGGAGGAGGAGGAGGAGGAGGAGGAGGAGGGGAGAAGGAGGGGGAGGAGGGGGAGGAGGAGGAGGAGGAGGAGGAGGAGGAGGAGGAGGAGGAGGAGGAGGAGGAGGAGGAGGAGGAGGAGGAGGAGGAGGGAGGAGGAGGAGGAGGAGGAGGAGGGAGGAGGAGGAAGAGGAGGAGGCGGGAGGAGGAGAGGGCCTCTGCGGGGCCGGAGGCCTCTGCAGCGGTAGTCAGGCACGGCACGAACCGAGCCGAAACCGATCTTCCAGCGGGGGCGCTCTGTCTCACGTCGGCTTCGACACCCAACCCCCCATGCAAATCGATCACATGTTCAGTGAGCTGGCGAAGATCGGGATGCACTCTGCACTCCAAGTTTTTTGTGGTCCACCGAAGGGATGTGCGGTGGCCGAGCGCCCTCCCACCAGAAATTAATGCAGTCGTAGTTGCATTACATAACGTGCGCAACAGAGCGAGTTACCAGCAAATGCAAGCTCAATACTGGTTTATATCATCACCCTGGGTCTACACGGCGGTCATGGAGAGCCCACATGTTGTGGCATTGCTGTGTTCTCTCTGGTGTCTGGTAAGCGTGCTCCCCAGCAAGGAATCAACAGCAAAAACCATCAATGAGATCAGATGTGAAATCTATAATCCTCCTCCTTCTCCTCTTCCTCCTCCTCTTCCTCCTCTCCTCCTTCCTGCTCCCCATCTCTTCATGACAATTGCCCAAGACCGTTTGCTCGAGGTGCTGCATTCCGAACACACAGCAACTCCTAGCCATAGAAACGAAACCGATTTCTGGGACGATGACGGCCTCACACCCATGTCGCTAGTGGAACTGGCCGCGCACCGTACCAATTCCCATGCCCCGAACCCGCCACCGTGCCCTGAGGCACGAGTTGGGGAGCCCTCAGGTAAAGGCTGAACAAGAGGTAGGCGTGCTGGGCCGGAGCCCAGCCTTGCCTCTGCCGGCGCGCCGGCGTGCGTAGTCCGTAGTCTGGTGGCGCGCCAGTGGCGCGTAGGTCACTTCGAGCTCTCTGCGTTGAATTCTGTGAAAAATCTTCAAGGGGCCCATAGCCTGGAGTTGCGGGAGTTCTCGGGGGCTCCTGGGCGCTCCCGGCCCCTTCTGAGGGGTCCCCGCATGACTTGTCGGAAGGCCAAGAGCGCGTTGTTCGGGACATGCATGTCCAACATGGTTTCAGATGGCCCTGGGGACCGTGCTGGAGCCATCTTGGGCACCTCTTGGGCTGTCGTGGAGTCCTGGAGGGCAGCCCAAGGGGCCAAATTCGTCAAAATCCATTGGTCGCTGTATGCTTTTACCGCCTTTTCGGTCTTCCGAAAGTCTAAGACTGGCCCAAGAGGCCCCCAAGACGGCCCCAAGAGGGGCCCAAGATGGGGAACATGAACTCACAGTTGAACCCCCCGCCCCAAACTGGCAACAAGATCCCCCCAAGCCCCCGAGGTGCGCCGAAGAGGCCCGAAGAGGCCCCCAAGCGGCCCCGAGGGGGTTACATCAGGCCCCGAGAGGCCCCCAAGACGCCCCAAGACACTCCCCAAACCGCCTCCGAGAGGCATCCGAGAGGCCTCCCAGGAGATCCTCACGCGGGCATCCAGGAAGCCTCTGACCTCCAGCACAAGCACGGTGGCGGGATGGGCCGGAAGCCACTGGATGACAGGCACGAGAATACTGGATCATCTATTACAGTACACAAGAGATTCAGACGACGGAGAGGTGAAATAAGCTGCATTAATGCGTACACGACGAGACAGTATAGACTTGGAAACCTTACTATTGATGGCCAGAATGCTGTACGGATGAAACTACCGCTTCGGTCTGATCGACGCGCGTGGCATCATCTATACCGTATGCCGCAGTACAGGTGGAAAGAACAGCACAATAATGCCCACTCATACCTGCGCTGCTTGATATATTTACTCTAGCGACTGGTTCAAGCAAACGTGTATCACCCCACTAGCTCCCTGCATACGCCTGCAGTCATACGCACAACAACGTGCAAGATAAATGGCAAAGGTATCAACACCGAGAAGGAACCAAACCGTGCGGCTTGGTGGATCGTGCCGCCCCTATAGTTTTTGGCGGCATTGCACCGAACACGTGATTCCAGCTGGGTGGGATCACTGGCGGTCAACCCTGGGGTGCGTGCGTCCTCAGTCACAAGGCAAGTTCAGCTCGGATTGTGTCAGAGGTGACTACCTACCAGAACACCCCAGCCCAACCCGAAAACCCGAATTTGACCCGAATTTGACCCGAATTTCGGGTTGGGGGGGGTACGGGCTCCATGTGTTTTTTTCAATGTTCCCCGACCCCCCCCCACACTGGAAATGAAGGGCAAATTGAGGCTTTCGGGTTGGGTTGGGGTGGCTTGGTGGGTGGTGAAGAGGCGCGCGAATCAAGGCACGTACCAAAGTCTATGGCCGACATCCCTCCGCGGTAAACTCAACGCAAGTTCTGTCCCGCGCCGCGTCGGCACTCCCAGACCCCCAAATCTGGATGCTGATGCCGAAACACGCGACTTGACCGTTTCCGTCGGCGTCCGCGGGCCGCGCCATGCGCACGCCCGAACATTGAAATTGGGGGCGCCGGTGGGGGAACTTGCGTTAGGTTTCGCGGAAGGTTGTAGGAAACAGCACATCCACTGCAAGTCTGGATGGGAGAGCAAGCATTACGAATTACGCCAACGCGTACGCGAGATGAGCACCGCGAGCTCCGTGCCCCTTTCCGCTCGTGCCCCGCACTTTTGCAGCATCATGCCAACCAGTACCATTCGGCATGCACAGCTCAAACTACCGTTGCGCGCGTCTACGGCACATGCGGCAACCATAACGGCTCAGCGTGGGGCTCCTCCTGTTGATTGCCATGCAGGCCATCGCTGCATAGGAAGAAAACGAAAGTTCGCATTCTCTGAAGGATTCGTACTACTCTCGCATGTACCCGACATCTTGCACAACCCAGATTAACCCCTTGCACCTCCGACACAAATCCACGAAGGCATCCAGGCATGCTTGGACAACACTCGCATATTCATGCCTGTAATTGCTGCGTTGGCTCTTCTGTACACACACCACACACCACACATACACAAATACACACATGCACACATTACCCCCAAGGTCTAACCTTTCGACATCACCTCTCGAATTCGCAATGATTCTGAGACCGTTCCATGATGATCAAGAAGATTCCAAAGTCTCTCTAGAATTGTGATCTGCAAATGCGGGGCTCAACCAAGGCAAATATGGCGCACAAATCGCGTTACACGTTCGGATATCATGATCGCGAGCAATACAAACCCACCGAATCTGATGCAAGCACACCCAGTCTCAATTCGCCGGCCCAACGGGCCAGAGGCGTGCTAAGATCTCCGGTAACTGGTTAACAATTCTCTAGTTCGCGCGCGCGGGGCGGCCCCTGGGGGTCCCCGGACGAAAAGTACCCCGGCAAGGTCCTGAGAGAGTCCCGGGAGGAGTCCCCCAGAGCGCTCCAGGAGCGCTCCATGAGCGCACCAACAGGGCTCCGAGACGTCCCCGAGAGCCCCAAGAAAGGCCAAGAGGCCCCCAAGAGGCCCCCAAGATGGTACACGAGGGGTCCAAGAGCACTCCCAAGAGGGCCCCCGGAGGCAAAATTCATTGTTTTTCCTTAGGTTTTTGAGAGATTTTGGAGCTTCCACCTTTTCGGTTCCCGACGCCCCAAGACGGCCCCAGAGGCCCCCAAGATCGCCCCAAGAGGGCCCAAGAGGCCCCCAAGAGGGCCCCAAGATGGCCCAAGAGGGCTCGAAGACGGCCCAAGAAGCCTCCAAGACGGTCCAAGAGGGCCCCAAGAACACCCCCAAAGGGGCCCCAGAGAGGGAACACGAAACAAAATTTCGAGCCCTCGGCCCTAAGAAGCCCCTACGAGGCCCCAAGAGGCCCCTCAGAGGCCCCAAAAGGCCCCCACGAGGCCCGCAGGAGGCCCCCAAGAGTCCCCCAAGCGGCCCCAGGAGGCCCCCCAAATGCCCCCCCGAACGCCCCAGGAGTCCCCCAAGCGGCCCCAGGAACCCCCAAAGCGCCGCATTGACACCAGGCCCTCGGGCAAACGGCAGACATGAGACCGTATGGGCCGGCGGAATGAGCGAAGCGACTAAATAATTATGAGGCCCGCGTCAGCGGAAGCAGCGCGTTTGACTATAATAAACACTGGATTATCCACCTGACGACGATCCAGCCGTCACTCGCGCGACGAGCTCAAGAGGCGACTTTGGATGCAAGTCGTTTCACACAAAGAGGCCGCGTCGGTAGTACAACAATTACTGTTTTTATGGACTGCTGATTAAGGAGGGGGTAGGGGGCAAGGGGAGTAAAATGAAGAGGCGCATCATACTACTTCGAATAGCATGCTGGCCGCGAACCAAACCGAAGACCGAGAACCGGTCTTCGAGCCGAACCGGCCGAACCAGACCGGCCCTCGACCCGAACCGGCCGAACGGGACTGCACGGGACTGCTGATCAAGGAGGGGGTGGGGGCCCGGCCCACCGAACCGGCCGAACGGGACCGGCCCAGCGATCCGAAGCGGCCGAACTGGACCGGACGAGGAACTGGCGGCCCGAGTCCGGGACCCCAGGGCCCGAGACCCCAGAGCTGCAGGGCCCAGAACCTCGGGGGTCCGGCGGCCACAGAGCCGGCCACAGTTCCAGCTCGGAGTGGTGATCCGTCCCAAGCGCCCGCAGACAGTCCCGGCTCGAGGTGGTGTCCTGGCCTTAGCGCTGGTCACGCTCCCAGCTCGAAGTGGCAGGTGAGCGTTTTTTCTGAGTCGGCGTTTCGACCTTGGGCGGAAGGGGGGGGGAGCGGGGGGGGGGTCTGGCTCCGGACCTCTGCTCAGCGCGACTGTTTGCAACAGTGCGTCCTATGGGGGAGACCCCACCTGCTCGAAACAGGCGCCAAAAGTAGCCAAGTTCTACTCTACAGGGGGGAGGGGGAGGGGGGGCGGGGGCGAGGGGGGGGAGGGGGGCGAGGGCCCCCGCCGATCAGTAAAAAAACGATCACCAGTCCCTCGGCTCTGAAGGCACCTCTGGCCTCAGCGCGGCAGCAGCATGGTCGACGGCAGGCTCGGTCCCTTGGGTAAGTAGCGCAAGCTGCAATCCCACTAGCCGTCTGGGCGCAGGTGGTTTAGCGGGTTCGGATCTTCCAACACCCGTCATTCCCGTCAGGAGGGACTCAACCTTCCCCCTACTCCACGCTGGAAGGCTGCCCCCCCCCTGGAAAAGCCGATTGGGACTTGCTTGAGGGCCTCTGGAAGGCCTATTGGGGAGCTCTTGAGGGCCTCTTTGGAGCCTCTCAGGCCGTCTTGGGCCTAAGGACGCGCAGCGTTGTTGGTGGCCTTTCGAGCTTTGGACGGGCTTTGAGCCCTCTTGGGGCCCCTTTGGGCATCTCTTGGGGCCATCCTCGAGGCATCCAAAGCCGTCTGGAGCCGGTCATGGGTCCTGTCTTGGGGCTCTCTTGAAGACCTCCTGGGGCCATGTTGAGGCCTTTGGAGCCCCTTGGAAGCTTTGATGACGATGACGATGAAAATGACATCATCGTCGTGAGCAAGCACAGGTCGGTCGTGTTGCTCACCCTCCTCCATAGCAGCTCCCTGCACCGGCAGGGCGCCTCAAACTCCCGATGACGAAAGCTGCCAGCTTCCCGACTGAGGGGAAGGGGACTCCACCATGTTAGGATAGGCCGAAACCTGCACCAGAAAAGCGTCCATTCTACAGCAGGAAACGTAATGGGTCAGGGAATCGGGTGCCCCCTGGAGACATCCGAACTGGGGGGTACGGAGAAGAAAGGAGGAGGAGGAGGAGGAACGCTAAGGAGGACGTCGGGGCAGGGAGGTGACCAGCGTGAGCCTAGGAGCACAATCTGTGCAATCCGCAACAGGCAGCCTGTGAGCACAGTGTGTGTATCGAGTGGGCAGCATAGCTGCCCAAAAACGGCCAGGAGGAGGGAGGAGAGGAGGAGGATGAGGAGGAGGAGGAGGAGGAGGAGAAGGAGGAGAAGGAGGAGGAGGAGGAGGAGGAGGAGGAGGAGGAGAAGAAGGAGGAGGAGGAGAAGAAGGAGGAGGAGGAGGAGGAGAAGGAGGAGGAGAAGGAAGAGGAGAGGGGAGGAGGACCAGAAGAGGAACGGGGCCGTCCCGGGGCCCTCGGGGACCAGCTTGGGACAATCTTGGGCCTGCTTGTCGGCCGTCTTGGCGTGCCCTGTCGTGCCAGCTCGTGCGTCCTCCTGTCGAGCCATGTCCCGTATTGTCTGATCTTGTCTGGCCTGGGCGTCTTGGGGCGTCTTGGCGTGAGAAGACAGGCTCATGTCACGGCCGGCGGTCGACTGAGGGGCTGGACCGCCCTGTAGGGGGCAGTCCCCTCGATGCCTGGACCCTCGACCTGCGAGGTGTCCGAGGGCGCACGTGGACCCAGGCTGACTTTGGCGTGGCCCCGAATGGCCCAAGGTGGTTTACAACGCGGCACAAGACAGCTCAAGAGAGCCCAGGGTGGAGTCCAAGAAGCTTCCGGGAGGCACCAGGACGGCTTCCAAGGACAACCCCGATGGGCCAGAATCCTCCGAATACCTGGAAGTCGTTCAATGGCTTTTGATCGTCATCTCGCCTTGTCGCTGCCGATGGGCCTCTGAGGCCTCAAGATCTTTCCAAGATCGCCCAACAGAGCCCCCGTATGGCCCCAAGCAGAGAGACGAACTCTGTACGACGACGCTGTTTCCGGCCCTGCACTGATATTTGCCGAGGAAAGCGGATCCTGGTGTGGACGAGATCCTGGTGTACACATGTTTCGCTGTTTCCCCTGGAAACGGGAACAAACAGTATACACCACACCACTCCGACGTCGCTCCCGACCCTCGAGGAGTCCTGGGATTGAAAAACAGCCCGCCACGGATCACGTTTACGTTCCAGTTTCCGACCGAGGGGTCCAACAGCGTCCCAATAGGCCCGAGGCGACTCGACATTTGGGGCTCAGACGGCGCGGGGCTACTTGGGACCGCCCCTCGCTCAAAGCCAGAATCATTGGAAACGATTGGGACATGATTGGGAGGCGTCGGGTCCAAGAAGGCACCAAAATTGCCCGAGACGCTTTCAGATGGCCTCCGAGATGGTGCAGCATGGTCAAAATTGGATCACGGTAGCCTCCAGCATGCCTCCAGGAGACCGAAAGACTGCCCAAAGACTGTCGAATGGCCTCGAGATGTCCAAGGATCGCCCCTACACGCTACGACCGTCATACCGTAAAAAGCATGGTCGTATCGCCTCTTCGCCTCGGACAGGTTTCTGAGGCCCCTGCTCGCCACGTGGACGATGGCGGCCAGGTAAATCCTAGGTAATTCCCTCCTCCCCCTCCTTCGCCAGAGCCTGGTGTTCGTCCCTGAGTCTGTTCAGTCTGATCCCGAGCGTCAGCTTGCTGGCTGCCTCATCGAATTGCTCCTCTGCATGATGCTACACGTCTCCAATCAGGACAAATTCGCCTGGGACTCGTTGTCTGATGGGCTGGTGAGGATACGCAAGGCCTCAAACACTATCAATTGATGATCGCCCCCTTCCTCCAGGCCCCGCTCATCCCTTCTCCTCGTCCTTATGCTCCCGCGCTGGCTCCTTCCCCCATCTTCCCCGCGCAGAGGCACCCGGGGAGGAAGGTTTTTTTTCCGAGTCAAAGCAATCCTCGCGGCCATGCTTGGTTAATATATCCTCTGGTGTGATGTGGCCTGATCACAACGAAAACTGCCAGGACACTAGGTCCAGTCGGCTTGGCTGCTGGGTTTTGTCTGGTAGCCTTGAGCCGGCTCGGAAGTCGGCCGGCCGGGGAGCAACGGGGTCTGAGTACGTGTCAAAACGCTCTGCACCCTGTGATGGGCTCATGGCCGTGGATGTTAGAAAGCCTTCCCCCGCGCCGCCTCGGCTAGGGCTCTTTCGCGCAACATGTGCACACTCAACATGTGCAAGCTACCCGTTTGCGGCCGCAACAGAAAGAACTGTCCTACAGAGTGAAGTCCCAGACCTTACAGATGTCGATCTTGAAATCAACCTCACTGGTCACGAAATCCATGCGCAGCGGTAAAATGCGCGCGCGGTTGGTCAAGAGCTTGTGGAACTTGAACGAGGATTCCTGATCCCACTCATTGTGGAACAATGCGATGGTCTCGAGGGTAGAGTTCGTCTCCAGAGCCTGTCCGATGCTCGACAGTGCCTGGCGCGCGCACCGAGACTGGATGGAGATCAGGTGTGGCATAACGAAAGGCATCAGTACCCTGAGTCAAGTTCACTCTGGCACTGCATCATGCTGAGCGCGTGAAACAGTTTACACGAAAATGTACCCGAGTTGCGACCAGCAAGCTTCATTGCATCACGTATTCCCACAATCCGCATAACGGCACACAATGGAGACTGACCTGCGCTCGCACTGCGCGGTAATCATGAGGAACTGCGAGGGGAAACGAAATGTTTGGCGCGGGCCAGAAGTTCCATCCCCCGCTCCCTCCTCCGCCTGCTTGCCCTCACCCTTCCCCTCTTCCTCTCCCTCCTGCATCCGCATCACTTCCATATAACTCCTCCTCGCCGCTTCACCAAACGTGTCGGTAGGGCGGGCAAAGCGTCTTGCCCAATACATCCTCACTATTGATGAAGATGAACCTGGCATGGAGGGCGAGTGGTTTTCAAAATCCTGATTTGGTACCCTGTGATCCTCACACACGCGCGCCAAATTCTGCAGAAACCAAATGGAGTAATTACAGTAGTAAGAAACGCCCCCTCTCAAACACTTCATTCGGGCCGACTGAGTGGTCGAACTCACGGAAAACCTGCGTGCATATGACGAGCTCTCAAATCCTCCCGAAGTGAGAGCAAAAAAGAACTCCACAGAACTCCGTTCCCAAAGATCCCCCTCCGCATCCTGCTTCCCCTTCTCTTCCACCTCGGCCTCTTCTGCCCCCTCCTCGTCCTGATCAGGGAGGAGGAGGGGGAGGGAGAGGAGGAAGCGGGAGGAGGAGGAGGAGGAGGAGGAGGCCGAGGAGGAGAAGGAGCAGGAGGAGGACCCCCCCCGAGCCCGTGGCACTCCGCTCTGGGCACCCTGGGGGCGCGCCCAGAACGGGGTGCCGCGGGCTCGGGGAGGGGAAGCGGCCAGCCCCCCATAGCGGGTGGTGGTGGTTGGGACGCACAGAGACTGATGCTGATACTATGTCCTCCTTGGGGCGATGGTGGAATAGCTGCGCGTTCTGACCGGTGGACCGGTGGACTGGTGGACCATGGTGGACCCGTGGACCAGTGGACCGGTGGACCAGTGGACTGGCATGGTGGACCAGTCGACCGGTGGACCGGTGGACCGGTGGACATCAGCTGGACGACTGGTGGACGACCGGTGGACTGGTGGACAGATGGACCAGTGGACCGGTGGACCCGTGGACCGGTGGACCAGTGGACGACGCGCGGACCGGTGGACCGGTGGAGGGACTGGCACGGTGCACCGGTGGACCGGCGGACTGGTGGACTGGTGGACCGTGGACTGGTGGACTGGTGGACTGGTGGACCAGTGGACCGGTGGACCGGTGGACGACGGGTGGACCGGTGGACCAAGGGAAAGACTGGTGCACCGGTGGACCAGCGGACCGTGGACCGGTGGACCGGTGGACCGGCGGACTGGCGGACCAGTGGACCGGTGGACTGGTGGACCACAAGACCGGCGGAACGGTGGACCAGTGGACAGGTGACCGGTAGACCGGTGGTGTGGTGGACTGGTGGACGGTGGAAAGGGAGACCAGTGGATCCGTGGACCGGTGGACAACCTGTAGACCGGTGAAAGAACTTTGGTCGAACTTTGGAAGTGGAAGATCTGCTGTGCGAGTTCGTGTTGTTAGCTGTGTGGTGTACACTATGTTTGTTATGTAAGCTAAGTGATGTGAGCTGTGGCGTAACCTATGTGGTGCAAGCTATGCGATGCAAGCTATGCAAGGTAAACTACACGGTGTGTGCAATATTCCGCGCTTGCCTATGGCCTCGCCGGTTACCCACAACTCCGACGTCGTGATTTGCTGAATACGTGCTTTTTGCGTTTTCATACTCTGGAGGCCGTTTCTGGGCTCCGGGACCTTCCAGGCCTCCGCTCCTCGAAGCACCCCCCCACGTCCGCAACCAGCCGCTATTCTTATTGACCTCCAGCCCCCACCAGCTCATCACCGTTACCACCACCACCATCATTAGCAATAGCAATAGCAGCATCATCATCATCATCATCATCATCATCATCATCATCATCATCATCATCATCATCATCATCATCATCATCATCATCATCATCATCATCATCATCATCATCATCATCATCATCATCATCACCATCACCATCATCACCATCATCATCATCATCATCATCATCATCATCATTCATCATCATCATCATCATCATCATCATCATCATCATCATCATCGTCATCGTCATCGTCATCATCATCAGCATCAGCATCATCATCATCATCATGATCAGCAGCATCATCAGCATCATCTGCATCTGCATCTGCATCTGCATCTGCATCAGCATCATCATCATCATCACCATCATCAGCATCAGCATCAGCATCAGCATCAGCATCAGCATCAGCATCAGCATCAGCATCATCATCATCATCATCATCATCATCATCATTATCATCATCATCGCCAACATCATCGTCATCGTCATCGTCATCATCAGCATCATCATCACCATCGTCATCCTCATCCTCATCATCATCATCATCATCAGAACCGTCATCCTAATCATTACAATCATCAGCATCATCAGCATCGCCATCATCATCATCATCATCATCATCATCATCATCATCATCATCATCATCCCCATGGGGGTGACCTTTGACATCACACAAACACTTACAAGGTTGCACGGCGGGCGATTGTCAAACTATGCCTAGCGCCTTCGCGCAACGTACACTTGCGGTCAAAGCTCCGAACAACTCTTTAGATGAAGGGCGGCTCTCATTTAAGATGTGGCTATCGTCGCATCGCCGCGATCACGTCTTGAGACTCGACAGACGCGTGCACAGGTGGAGCGCGGCTCCGCTTCAGAATGGGAATTTCGCCGGAGACGCCTTCAACAATGAGAGGAGCACCCTCTCTCTTCCAGGAGCTGCCTCCTCAAAGGCTAGCCAATCCAAAAGCTCAAACGATTCAAAAGTCCAGGTCGACCGGCGGCCCCATATCTGAACGGAAACCCCGGGTTCCTGGATTCCTGGGTTCCTGGGCTCCCGGGTTCCCAGTTTCCTGGGTTCTCGGGTTTGGTGTTCCTGGGTTCCTGGGTTCTGGGGTCTCTGGGTTCCCCAAATCCCACGATATTGGGCTCGGAGGCTCCTGGGTTCTTTGGATCCTGGGTTCATGGGTTTCTGGGCTCCTGGGTTGGGTTCATGGGTTCTTGGGTTCTCGGGTTCCTGAGTTCCTTGGTTCTTGGGTCCTGGGATCCTGGGTTTGGTGTGTCGTGGGTTCCAGGGTCATTAGGATCCTGGTTTCCTGGGCTCCTGGGCCCCCGTTTTCCAAGGGTTTTTGGGTCTGGTGTTCCTGGGTTCCTTGGTTCCTGTGTTCATGGGTTCGCGGTTTCCGGGGTTCTTGGGTTCCAGGGTTACTGGGTGTCTTGATTCCTACGTGCCTGGGTTTTCGGGTTTGGTGTTCCTGGGTGCCTGGGTTCTGGGGTTCCAGGGTTCCTAGGTTCAAGGGCTCCAGAGCTCCTGGGTTCCTGGGTTCCTGGGTTCGTGGGCTCCTGGGTTCCAGGTTCTTGGATTCCAGGGTTTCTGGTTTCTTGGATTTCCTGGGTTCTTGGGTTCCTGGGTTGTTTTCCAGGGTTTTCAGGGTTCCTGGGTTCCTGGGTTCCTTGGTTCCTGGGTTCTTGTGTTTGGTGTTTCTGGGTTCTTGGGTTTTGTGTTCCTGGGTTCCTTGAGAGAGGTTGAAATATCAGAATGAAAGACTCACTGAGTGATGAATGAAATGAAGGGTGGAGGACACATGGTGTACCTCCGTTGGTGGTGGTAGGCTCATGGTGCCCACCTTTGGTTTTTGAAGGGCCTTTGGTGCCCCTCAGTGCCCTCCCCGTCCCGTCTACAGAGACTTCGCACCCCCCCCACTGTGGAGGGGAGGTGGTGGACGGGGCGCCCCACCTGTCGTCGCACGTACTACGCCAGAGGTGGTGGGGATTTTGCAACGATCGGTCTTGATTCCTTGCCTCCCATCCCTTCCCGGGGGCACAGAATCCCGTAAAGCCCCCCCAGGGCAGGGAAGGCCCTACCCAAGGGGAGCGCCGAAGATTTACAGCAACCTCAAGGGGATCACCTGTGACAACTATTGCCTGGGCATGCGGCTGCAGACACAACAGGCCAGCACACCCGGACATAGTGCACCAATGCGTCGGGCCCGCGCTCCACGAATATTTCCGCCACTGCTTAGGAGACAAAAGTGAGGAAGAAAACGGTGTCCAAGTGCATCCTCGTCCGGGTGACTTGTTGCCACTGCCTAAAATGGTAAGGTGAGGAAGACAACGGGGTACAAGTGCATCCTCGTCCGGGCGACTCTACGGATATTCCCGTCACTGCTTAGGAGAACTCCACGGGTATTTTCGCCACTGCGTAGGAGAAGAGATTTTCCCAGACGATGTTCTTCACCAGTTTTCGCACAGGCGCACAGAGCCTCCGACACCTAATTAGCAGGAGGAGACGAAAATCGTGGTGGCACTCGTCGCCAAAATCGCTGCCACCAAGCGAAGACGTGGGAGAGCAGGGGGAGCGCGAGGGAAGGAAGAGGAGGGAGGGAGGAGAGGGGGGAGAAAAGGAGGGCTCCCCTGAGTTCCCGGTTTCATGGGTTCTCGGGTTTGGTGTTCCTGGGTTCCTTGCTTCCTGGCTTCTTGGGCTCCTGGGTTGCTGGGCTCCTGGGTTCCTGGGTTATTGGTTTGGTAATGAGTTCCTGGGTTCCTGGGATGTTGGGTTCTTTGGTTCCCGGGTTCCTGGGTTCCTGGCTTCTTGGGCTTCTGGGTTCCAGGTTTCCTGAGTTTGCTATTCTTGAGTTCCTGGGTTCTTGGGCGCCTAGGTTCTTGGTTTCCGGGATCCTCGGTTCTTGGGATCCTGGGCTCTTGGGTTCCAGGTTTCCCAGTTTTATGGATTCTATGGTTTGGTGCTCCTGGGTTCTCTGGGTTCTTGGGCTCCTGGGTTCCTGGCT